CTTAGTTGCCTTCTGTGCAGTTAGTTTTCTAAAACTGAAGCCACCATAATGTTTTCATAAGAGTGGTTTCATACAGACTTGTACATAGTTAGATTACAGAAATAATTGAAGTCAAAAATAGAGAAATATTTGCATAGTGCTGTCCTTAAACTTATTCCAATCACCAGCTGAAGAACTTCCTTACTTCAATCCAGCTGTTCTTTGTAGTGGCAGGCAATAGAACAGTGTGTTACAAGCCTACTCTTCCACTGTATGAAGAAGTGGGTGGAGCATGTGATTGTATTCTGCCTTCCTTCATCTCAGGGCCTTGCAATTATACTACCCAATCTAGGTTATTCAGTGGACAATGATGCATAAAAAATTCATCTCAGATGTGTTGTGTGCAGTACAGTTTTGGAGGACTTGGCTAGATTATATACTTTTTTCTATTGGACATGTGTTTCACTTTAACTTATATGGTATTTGAGATGAGTCTGCACCTGATGAATAAACTCTTAAAGAGGGGATAGTGCATCTTTTTTTCAAGTCTACATTACATCCTAGATTATATGCAAAAAGAAAAGATGAAATTATCTTGAATAGTACATAAAATGTTTTTTCATGTGAAAAATAGGACAATTAGTAGATGGAGACCATACTAGAAAAAGATCTAAACTGTTGAAAGCAGTGGAGTAGAATCACCAAACTAACACTCGAGAATTAAGACCTAAATGCTCAAAAATAAGTTTAATTTTTAAGTGTGGGCCCAAAATCCAGACCTCTTCCCTACAGCATTGCTGGCAGCTTTTTGGAGCAAGTCTTCAGCATGTTAGCTAGTGCTGTCATATTGTGCTATAATGAGAACTAAAAAAGGAGCTCTAGAAGATCTAATATTGGGTTTTACCAGTTTGGATTAATGTCTTTTATAGCATAAGATCCAATAATCATGCAAGGAGTTGGACTTTGGAAAAAATGCCTTTAAATGTTAAACTCTAAGATACTAACTGAATGTGTATAGATTTAAAATGCAAGTATTTTAAAACATATATTCCTCTCCCTTTATTTACCTACCAAGACCACAGTCTTCACCTTTTACAAATGTTTATTCTTTTACTGTGGTGAAAGCATTTCCCCCCCAGTTATCTGCCTCCTTTGAACCTTTTCTGCTCTTGCTATAGGACTTTATTGCTACTGCACTAATGTACAAATTTCTATACACTAATGGAATACTTATAACCAGTGTTTCTCAGTAAGCTCCACTCTATTGCTAGCTAACCCTTAACTTTTCTGTAATTACTAATGTCAAATGCAGATGATGTGGCATGAGAAGGGTGTGCAGAGGAATAGTAATATTGCAGATTCAAGGCAAACCTTTGTTTCAAAGCATATTCCTTCTACAGGGGATTGTAAGGATAAGAGTAGACAAATATTCCTTTTTAACCCAGAGAACTATTCAGAGAATGTAGTCACCTACAACTTTGTTGCTCCAAAATCATAAGTGCAAATGTAGTATTGACTACCTATTCTTGGAACTAATGCACATTAAGTTAAATGAAACTGGCTACTTTCTATATACACAGAAAATATCTGCCAACTGCAATACATTAGTTTACATGGAAACTAGTTTTTTAATTCACAGCTTTTAGAAATGGTTGACAAGTTGTACAGTATTTTGAAGTAAAACCAAAATTAGTTTTAGATTTTAAACATCAAATAGAAATGTCAATTATATAGTGAGCACTTTTAGTGTTCTGGAAAATTATTACTTTACAATAAATTAATAGAATTATGGTATAAAGTAGTTAGGGGCCCTTCCATGTTACATCCATAAGGTTTATATTTTGTAAGAAGTGCTCTGCATAGATTGAGGTTTTGAACTGGTGATGTTTAAAAGTATAATACAAATTGATTGGAAAAAACAGATGACTTCAGTGAACAGCCAGTGTCTTAGACAATTTACTCATTTAATCTTGGAGTAATTGAGATTCATGGAAAGCTGCCAAAAATATTGTATTAAAAATAATGGAATGAACACTTTTTATTTTATTTTTAGGTACATTTACACAAACAAAAGGAGTCAATCACTTATTCCTATTCAAAAAAAAATTATAACCCCCCCTGTGATTAACTAATTGGGATTAATTATATTTTTATGGCACCTTTAACATGTAGTGCCACAAAGTATTATATTACACAGATATTGTGACATCCAGGAATAAGTAGCTGGAGCAAATGCAATCAATGAGAGGAAACAAAAACTGTTGGACTATGTAGGCTGTGATTCTGCAGGCAGATCCTTGCAGCTGTATAGTGCACCAGTGACCAGTTGATGTGCAGGTATCAGATTTTGAAAACAGCCAGTAAGTATAGTTTGTGCACCTGAGGTCATTACTGCACCTCCCCCTCTTTCCTCTGCACTCTGCTTGTCTCCTGTTTTGAATCTGGTTGGTGACTGCAAATTTAGGTTAGCACTGACTGACTGCTCAAGCATCAGCTCCTGCTTTGAGTGGAATTGACTAAACATACAAGATTGCTGTGAAATTTATTTAGCAGGTGTTTCTCCAAGTCCAGTTTTAGGAGCTAATTGTCAATCAAATAGACATTGAGAAAATGATAGTTTAACATCCATTAATTTTTGTGTGTGCTGGCAGCCCACTAATGAATGAAAGCCACTGTCAGCTGGCCCACTTTCTTTAAATCAGTGGTTGTTACCACCAGTTTGAGAATCACTGATCAAAAACAAAAAGGGTAGATTAAGGAATTGCATTTCTTTAGCCTCATTAACAATGCTCTTAATCTTTAAAAAAGAACTTTTTAAAGGAGGTACCCTAAATGGTAGTTCATCCATGCCAGAGGTTTTTGCTTAATCTGGCAGTATACTTGATATTGCCTTTTGATCAACAAGAAAAATACAAAACTTCTGAGCAACTTATTCATCAGACTAATCAATCAGGCAACCATTTCATTCTGAGCTCTGACAAATACTGTATTGACAACTCAGTTCCATAACAGGGCTCAACCTGCTGTTTTTATTAGAGACGGCCAGAGCTGAGAAGTGTGAGCTGACTTAGGTATGGTGTCCTGGTTCAAGTCTGCCATTAGTGTTGATTTTTAATGACTATGAAAGTAATAAAATATTTTAAATAATATACTCAGTCAGTTTAGTTTTAAACTTTTATAACCTACTGAGAAGGATGGTCCAGTTCCTCCTACAGATGTTGGAATGTGAATTGTCTTTTTTAGACTTGTAATATACAAATTCGTAGGCATTTTTCCAAAAGGAAAGTATACTACATACTGCATGTTATGGCATTTCTGTGATTTAGTCATTACAGTAATACTTAAATTAGTCCACCAGTTAGTTTTCTTCACATTGGATACTTTTTGAATTCTGGATAATGGATATAATAGGGAACTAGTTCCACAATATTTCAAATCATTCCACACATCTCAGTCCAGACTCTGCTTCTTGGCTTCTCTTTCGCACTAAGGAAAAAGATACAAAGCCATGAGGCTTATGATTGTTATTGACACTATGCTCATTTGGGTATCTCAGTATCAGCATATAAACCCTCTTCAAAGCCAATGTTTTGGGGTGTTGTTGGCATCTTGATGTCAAGTGCCTATGTTGACTGACTTTTGCTCCTGACCCTGATGTCAAGTTATTCTGGATGTTTTCAAAATCTGATGCCTGCACACTAGATGCTTTGGCATTCCGTGTGTCAGCAGTGAGCTTTTCTATGTTATTGCTGTGGCATCGGATATGTGACCCTCAGGCATTGAGTAGTTGGGTCCAAGTGTTGACTACTACCCATGTCATCTCTACCATTAAGATAAGCACTGGCCATGGATTGAGCCCCATTAGAAGTGTCTCTT